ACATTCCATTTCATAAGCTGTGTGGTCATTTAACATTCCCCAATCCGCGGTGTCAGGTGTGTACCGAGAATACCTCTTGGAAGGTATTACCACACGCCGTGGAGAGCGCAGTGGCCGATCACGGGTCTAGCTAGAATCGTCCGTGTTAACAGACAAGCGACACTGGCTGAAATCACATATACACTTATTGCATGAGGTCCCAGACACATATTCAGCGGGTCAGTGCAGCGTTCTTTAGCTTCCATGAGATATGGGAGAAGACCCACCAGAGTGCCTCTGTTAACACGACACTGAGCACAGCGCCTCACATGGGCTTGTGACGTCGCTAATTGAACCCTGGAAGACTGGAAACATGTGGCTTGGTCAGATGAATCACGGTGCCAGTTGTGTCAGGCTGATGGTAGGTTCAGGCGTGGCGCAGGCCCCATGAGGCCATGGACCCCAGTTGTCAAGAAGACACCATGCAGGCTGGTGGTGGCTCTATACTCGTGTGGGGTGTGTTCACGTAGCATTGATTAGGTAATCTGGTCCCCCTGAATATGTCATTGACCGGTGACCGCTACGTTACACTGTTTGGTGATGATTTAAAGACCTTCATGGATTTCATGTACCCCCCACAACGATTGGATATTCCAGCAGTAAAGTGCACCGTGTCATCAGGCCCAAAGTGTCCAGAACTGGTTCGAAGAAAATTCTGGAGATTTTTGATGAATGGTGTGGCCACCGCGTTCCCCTCGACATGAACCAAATCAAGCATTTCTTGGGCGTGGTGGAGACGTCAATTCGCACCCAATAACCTGCACATACAGTAATCAGGGAAATGTGGGAGGCTGTCCTGAAGCTATGCAACATCTCTCAACGGGTCTTCCGTCCACTCGTGCAATCGATGCCACGCGGAATTGCTGCACTTCGCCGGGCTAGAGGGGCCCTACACGATATTACGTTCCTATCCCACGACTTTTGGCACTTGAGTGTATAATATACAGAGCTTATTAAGATTTATACGATATAATTGAAATATTTTTTTCTGTTATGGAGAGTATTTGACAACATGCGAAGAGAAAAATGTTGCCATTCATTTGCTGTTGTTGAAAACAGATTTTTGTAAATTAATTACTTTTATCGAAATGATAATTGAAGTTAATGCAATACAATGCATACACGAATACACATATGCATTTAAACGTTATGATCTATATCTGACGATGGGGAATAGCATCAAAAGATATAAAAGGTGAGGCTGAGTCGATCCCAGGGCCAGAGTGCGGCTGGAAGGAATAGATCAATTGAAAAATCCAATGACCACGTCGGGAATCGAACCTGAGACAAAAAAGATAATTGCAATGACAAGGTTTAATCTGTGTCACAGAGATTAGGAGATTTAAACCAGTGACTTTACACATTTGGCAATGTTGAAGGGAAATACGTGTTTAATTAATGCGGCAATATTTGGGTCAGCAGTAAATTGACAGCAAGGCCAATGGGTAGAAAGGAATACATTTGGAAATATGTGTCTGGCTTGCAGATGTCCAGGCTAGAACCCATGCATATGTCAACACTAAATCTTCTTGTGATGATCACCAGAGGACTTTTTCTTCTCTTGTCTAGATGTGCAGTGGCCTTTAAATTATTCATAAGTAATTTATATTAATAACATGAATTCAATCTATGACCTTGATCTTAAATCCAGTACTGACCCTATTCATGACCTGACTCAATAGACTTACAGAACTTCTTTGGAGTCAACGAATCATCTTTGCACAATCTTTGCGTATCTATTTTGTCTCAGTATTATTATTATGCCTAGTAGTAGTAGTAGTGTAGTAGTGTAGTAGTAGTATCACCACCACTAACACGACCACTTGTATATTCACTATTCTTCATACATTTGTAGAAATTGAGTGCTCGGAAGTGTATGAGGGCAAATTTATTTCAGCATCCTTAAAACTTTCGGAAGAGCCATTAGTTTCAGAGTACCCTACATTTGGTCAAATTGTTGGAGATGTGAATTAATTATGTTTTGTCCGTCCCATTTTGGTTTAAATACATATTATGATTCTCTATTTGCTGTATTTTAGACGTGATCCAGAAAAATGATTATTTTCCTATGAGTTTCCCGGTGCCCGACGCTACATAATGAGGCAATTTTGGAGGGCCATGTTTTTCATAATTTTGAAATTGTCTTTATTAAAAATACAAACTATAGATATCAATGTAATATAATTATTCAAGAAGGACTGATCATTTATATGATTTTTAAAATTCATATTTGATATTTTAAAGAAACGGGTCTGTTTCATCTACCTAAATACTCACACACACACACACACACACACACACACACACATACATATATATATATATATAAGTTAACTGCAACAGAATTTTATGATCTATGGCCTTGGGGTCGGCTCAGCCTCTAACAGAAATGAGTACCAGGAATTAATTAAATAATTTTCCTGGGGAGTAAAGCGCGGCCGTTGCGTAAGGCTGACAACATTGCTGCCATCTTTGAGCCGATTGTCTAGATAATGTTGGATCCTCAACGTCTCATAACCCTACTGGCCTTCACGGCCTGGTACAGGAATAGCTTTACTTTTTTTTTTACTTTACTTTACTGTTCATATTATCAAATTTTTTTTTGCCATTACGATTAATTTAACCCCGTAAATATGAAACGCTCCTGTTTTGTGAGAGTTACTCTGAAATTCTCACATGATTTTGAATCATCTTCTATTTGCTGCCTCAGTTAATTGCACAGGCATGAACAAAACATTGCAAAGTTCAAAAATTGCCTGAAGTTTTCATGGAATAATATCAGTTGAATTGTAGATATATTCCTATTTCTAATGTAACAAATATTATCCTTTGTTTCCTTTCAGATTGAAATACATTTTCAATTATTTAAAGTAGAGTATCTACCTCAGTCTGTGTAGCTATGAGCTACAGGCTGGATGACCGGATTTCGATTCCCGGCACGGGCAAGAAATTTTTCTCTACCCCACAACTTCCAGATCGGTTTTGGGGCCCACCCAGCTTCCCACCTAATACGTGCCAGGGGTTGTATCCCTGGGGATGAAGCGGCCGGAGAGTGAAGCTGACTTCTCACCTCAATTTAGCGCGAGGTCAAGAATGGTGGAACTATACCTTCAATCCCTGGCACGTCTTAAAGGTGTGGTGCATAATTAAGGAAGTACGGACAAATTTACATTTACCTCTCATGAGGAAAATTTAAGACTATTATATATGTTCGTTGTAGGATTTATTTTAAATTGCAATAGGCCTATATGTAACTTTCGACTGAAAATTTCGACGAATTTAGAACTCTTCAACTGATGAGAAATATGTCTGTACACTCTGCTGAAGCGAGTGTTGTGTTTTATACTATATGAAGTATAACAGAGTATCATTGAGACATTCAGTATCGTTAAATTTTCTGAAAGAACAATAGCGCCATATTACTTCCTCCAATCCGCATATGTACGTATTTGCACTTCCAATGTGTATGTCTATGAGACTGACAACTGAAAGTGATAAATCGTCTGCCATTTTGTCTAGCTGTTTTATTTATTTTTCTGTTTACAAATATATAACCTCAAAACTGTTTAACAACATTTCAAAGAAAACGAGACCAAAAACCGTGTTTGAACTAAAGGAATTCGTCGTAAAGTTGGATCACTGTCATGACGATAGCGAAGTGTGATAGTCCGTTCTGTTTTTATACGCATTCAGCAAGCCTGGCCCTTGATACGTTCTTAAATTCAGGTCACCTGTGTGAGGTCCGGAGTTCATGAGGGCCATGCTTTCTTATTGCAGTGAGATGCCATTCTGTAGGACCGGTGGGAGGATTGTTGATTTCTTTAGCGACAATTGAGATACATTGTTCTCTACAAAGGTCAATGTATGGAATATAATTCCCTTGCACAGTTCAGCAAATAGTTTCCTCTATCTACCGTTCAGCGATAAAACTGCGTGTCTGTGATTGTCTCACTGTCTTCTCCTGTGAGGGAACACTTCTAAAGAAGGCCCGTGACATGTACACGAATATATACAGACATACACACACATACATTGAGTAGTTCATGTGAACATGCTCCTAAATGCAGGTAATGATAGGCCAACACTGTGGCAGCCGCTGCTCTAGTCCACTTGCGTAAGATTTCCTACTCGAAGTAAGAATAGAACAAGATAAAAGGGCTGCAATAATTGATGTCATGCCTGCTTTACCGGCATCAGACGAGGTGACTGGCCTTCCTGAGGCCTTCACCTCTTCCACCTCATCTGTGTGGATGAACGACTTAGGTGCATTGTCATTTTCTCACTCATTTATGAGGCCAAATCAGAGATAGGGATCTTCGTTTTGCATTGTTGCAACATATTTCTTTTAAATATCAATTTAAAATCTAAAGTATGTTCAGTATTATGTCAGATGTGACCAAATTGTTTTGTTCTAGCATTGTAAATTTTATGCAGTGCGTCACATTAGTGTATTTCCTCACGAATCACCTGATGATGGCTTATTTGGGCCGAAACATGTTGTGAAGTGATAAATAAAAAAAACCATTTGTTTCTGTGACGGCAACCCCTCCATTTTTATTTGCAGTTTCATGTTCTGTTTCAACCTGAAAGAGAAAAGTTATATCAAGTTTCTTTTCTTTCCTTTCGTACCCAGTACCTCATCCCTATAGTACATTACGAGTCCTCTGACTCATGCATCCCAACATTCGGAATACTGGGATAAGTCCCAGGCTCTTACTTGAATTAGCTGAACCACAGTGGTGCTGCTACTGCCTCTAAATCCTCGCCAATCCAGCCGTGCAGTGGCAACCAGTGGCCGTTGCTGTAGCGCATGCGGGTGCCAACCAGACACTGCCAGATTTGCTGTACACTTTAGCAGGAAATAGTGGACGGTGTTCGTTCATTGAGAGAGCGAGGGAATGACACAACAAGACGAGAGAGTGATGATGAGAGGAGAATAGAAAAGCGTAAAGACGGCACAACACGTAGGTTCACGTTCTGTCCATGTACGGTATTTTCCTTGACAGACAGAAGAAAACTGAAAAGAATAAATCAGGTACTACAACCTTCTAAAGGTAAGTCAGACCCTACACATCATGTAGATCCGTTGCTGTGCAACTACTGCAAATACCAGTATTTAAGAACCGTTGCTGAGTAACGGCTCCTCAAACAAACGTATTCCCACGGAAAAGATTAAGCTACAATAATGAGGAGTGGTGTTTTCTAAGTGGTCCATGCTAACGGGTTATAAACGGAACAGGTTTAGAGTTTAGTCAGTTGTGGGTTATTCGGTATCCGATAAGAACTTAAGCAGAGAGCATTGTTAGGATCCGTTACAAGGGAACAACAAGTGAGGACATAGAAGACTTTATGTGTGCTGTAGTTATAGTGAGGGGCACGCTGTAGCGTAGTTGGTTGAGGCACTATGCTACAAGCCGGAAGGTCACGGGTTCAAGTCCCAATGAGGTCATTGAATTTTTTTTTTCATTTGACCTAATCATTCCAGCCGCACTATGGCCTTGGGGGACGACTCAGCCTCTAACAGAAATGAGTACCAGGAATTAATTAAATAAATTTCCTGGGGAGTAAAGCGCTGCCGGCGCGTAAAGATGACAACCATACCGCCATCTTTGAGTCGATTGTCTAGATAATGTGGGACCCTCAACGTCTAACAACCTTGTGGGCCTTCACGGCCTGTTACAGGAATAGCTTTACTTTACTTTACTTACTTAATGTAGTTAACAGTGATCTTTAGAGAGTGTGTAAACCAGTGAGGCTGTTACAGTTATTTGCAGTTACGAGTTATGTTAAGGAATGCAATAAATCGATTCACCAATTCAAAACCCTTCTATGGTCACTAATACGCGCTACAATATTATAAGAAATATTATTCAAATATAGGTATAAATTTCAATAGAGTTTTAAAAAGTACACAGAAATTCTTGTCTGGTTATTTCATGGTTTATTCAAAGAAGCCTTTTCAACTGCATATAATATGGCCGAAAGGCATATGTCTAAAGGGATAAAGTGGAAACGACACTGAATGAAATTTGCTTGATCCATTTTAATAAATCAGCATAACCATAAGAAACTTCCCTAACGCGAAAGAGTTCTAACCACTCAACTGTGACTTTCAGAGACACTTTCAAGTTGTGTGGCTGGAACCTGCTTCAGCATAGCCAGATATTTTGATTTATTGAAAGACAGTACTAAGATGGAAAGTGAAAGCATAACAGGAAATTGTTCCTGGTTGTAGATTATGAAAGTAGGATACCAAACGACCAATTTGTCATGAAGTGGACAAAGTTGTCCCTTTGTCTAACCATCACTTCGTGAAGGTGTATAGGAGGAGTGGGAGTAAAGGGCCATGGGTTCTTAATCGCGTACTATATTCAGTATTTAGTGTCTTACAACATAAAAATGAACCTGGATGGAAAGACAACTATGACAAAAATTCAAACTTAAGAACAAGCGCGTAAGTTAATAGATCAAATCGCCGAACTCTTGTGTATCCCTGAAGAGGGAAGACCAATACAAATGGACAACTTTGCATTGTACGCATTAACGAACCTCATGTGGCTTGAAGATGTAAAATTGTTTCAGGTGGTCAGAAAATATTCTGCTTTTATGCAGCACGAAAATTCATTATCGTGCTCACAAAAGCCCATCATATATGTTTATACCCTGAGCCATTTGAATGCAGTCTACAACATCAAATGTTATTTAAGGAGCATATTTGTAATATCCTCCCTTCTACATAAACCTGGGTCTCTCACACGGCATTTTTCCCTGAGGTCTGTCAACAGAAATGTTTGTGCATCTCTAACTTCTTCAATGAGAGCTACATTTTGTTTAATAACGCTAATAGTATTAGACGAAGAGTACAAATTATGAAGCTTTACAATATTTAATTTTCTAATCCTCCTTTGTTGCTTCTTTTTTCCTTTGATCTGACTAGTCTCTTCAACATTTTGTATTTACGTTTGGTTCGAAAAACTTCCAGGAGTTGTGTCGGTCACCTCTGAGCACCTCTACGACCAAAGTCACTCTAAAGGCGAGGGCACACTAAGGAAAGTGGCAACACTAGAGTAACAAGCATTTCCGAGAACTGTTACCAACCTTAATTAAACACAGGTTACTGAATGGAGCAACGCAAATTGTGGATACCGCAACGGATTTTCCCATTGAGCTCTGTCAAGACCTGCTGAAATGTCATTGCTACTACTGTAAACTTGTCGTTCAGAGACGAACTCTTTGCATTAGATCCTGAACCTACTGACTTGGTACTTGTTCGTTGTGCCTCACGGCTGGCACTCATTTCTCCCACTGTAGCGGGGCAGGCCTGTGCAACCTGGGGCAGATGATGCTGCCACGGTCGCTGTGTGTTGCTGCTAGGAACTGCGGCGAAGGATAGTCCTGGGGTGGTGTGGCTGGAAGGGAAGATCCTTCCCCTTGTAGCCTTGAGCGCTGACTGCAGCTCCTTCGCCACTCTTCCTTGGCGTGGCTGCAGCATCAACATTTGGAGGGATGAGGTTCCTCTCCGTCCACCAACTTGCAGTTGCAGCGTGTCTGTATCCATAATGTGCTGCCCTCTTGCGGGCACTCCTTGTGCAGGTGACCGCCCCCACACTACATACAACGGGGAGCTGCTTACAGTTAGCCCAGACATGGCCGAATTCTTGGCAGTTGTAACACTGCGTGAGACCAGTGTGGGCTGTGTGCGGCTCTATCCCGATTGCAATAGGGCAAGGCTGGCCAGTTGGAATATCTCTTGGACTCTGATGTCCTAGGTAAGGTTATTAGGACGAGGGGAATATTTGCTGTGGTTGTTCCATCTGCAGGTGATCCAAGAGTGCTAGACATTTGTTTGTCGCTGACGCAAATAACAATAAAGTCAAGATTCACCAACTCATCTGAAATGTCCTCTGCAGGAGTTTAAACTGGGAGTTGCCGTATGACAACCTATAGAGGCTTCTGGGATCTGGGATAGAAGGTGAAGTACGGGAGGTTATGCCCTCGAAGTGAGAGCGGTTGGCTGAAAGATCCTCCCCATTTCTTTCGTGACAACTGGTCCCGTTTCGGGTGTTACGGAACTCAAAGTTGCCTTTGCAATTGTATCCTGTTTACTTGAGAGGTTAGTATAATTGAAGGCGGCCTCCTGCCTGGCTGGATGACGCCTGTTGTTACTAACGTTTGGTGGTGCCGTCCGCGTCTTCTCCGTGGTCAGTCTCCATTTCAATTGACCTCCGTGGAGCGAAGAATTTCTGGGTTGGAACTTCAGGCTTCGGCTGCAGTTGGGGATGGTCCACTCCCTTGATGGATACTGTAGGCTTCTTGGCTCTTTCGTTGGCTTCCTCTATAGGTTTTAACTTCCGTCTTCTTCGCTCACGGAATTCTTCGATAGTTGGAAGTCCAGTAATTATGGTCTTTACTGTTTCCCATCTGGCAGCGCTCTCTTAGAAGACTGCAGTAAAGTCGTGTAGCACGTCTGCATACGCTCCTTGGGGGGGGGGGGCTATACAGATGACTTCCTTTCAGAAGCTGGTTTCCTCAGTGCTTTGGACGAATAGCATCCATTTCGGACTCTCGCCAACTGACGCAAGGGTATTTCCCTCTGGTAGGGCAATGTCGGTGAGTACCCCGCGTACAGGTTTCATGACAGAATCGGCGTCAGGATGCTGCTGTATGGCGTTTTCGTATTCTCGCTTCACAGATCCAATGAAGTTCAACCAGAACTTCTGAAATTCTTGGGTGTGTACGCTAGCAGTGATACGAGTTACCACTATTGTTACTACGAATGTAGCAGTTAATTATGTATATAGAGGAACCACACACGGCAATTGATCTGCACAGGCCCGTAGTCGGGCCGCAAACTTCACTCACAATGTTTGCAATAAGAAGACAGGTTTGAATTCACTACGTATATATTTTCCCAATTACTTTGTGTATAAGTTGTCCGCTGTTCGTTTGTCTCACTAACTCTCACTAATTGAAGAGCTACCAACCCGTCTCAGTCCTCTCCTCACCACAATTCCGGCCCTCATAGTTCTTGTCGATCCTCCTAACTCTCTGAGTAATGTCAAAGTCAGAGTCAAAGTCACAATGCGATGACGGCCATTCAGTCAGTAAATCTTTGTGTCGAGCCCCATTTGGGGCGCATAACCATATATTTATTGCTGTTTGACAGTTATGGTCTTGTTTTTGTGGGGCGTCCTCTCTGACAAGAAGACGTGTCTGTCTTTTGTATATGCTGCTGGCCCTTACTAGCGCAGTCTTTCTCGGATCAGAGTCCCTTGGGACTCACAACCATATTTTACTCTCTTAGATTTTAGACTTCACTTTTCGTCGCCTCCTGCTACCCGCAGGATCACGGTGAAGATATTCGACCCCGTCTGACTAATGACAGCTGCTCCTCGTTATATGTGGCTTCGACACGGGCCGCATAGAAATCACATCTCCAAACAGTACTTCAATTGTCGCATCACGTACCTACGGGCAAGGACAGCGTAGGGAACACCGCTTCACAGTTACTCTATTGTTGCATGTTACGAAGCTGTTTCCTAGCAAAGGCTGTGTTTGTAGAACCGTTGCCTAGCAACTGATGTCATATGTCATATTGTTAACAGTTCAAATTACGTTTCACTTCCGTTCAACTTATCTGTGTTATCAGACGTTCGGCACGCTGAATATCAATATTCGTTGTTTCTTTCAACATTTCCAGACCAGTTTCAGGATAGAGGAGCCAGAAACTGTTCATCCCACCTCTGCCCATATTGTCACCAAACTTCACAGTCCTTCCACGGGGATAAACCAGTCACTCGTCTAGGTTTCCACTCTAACCAAACAAGCTTCTGTCCTCTCTGTATCAATTTTTAAAGGACACAGAATAAATGGTGATATTTGTAAATTTCGTTTGTGAAGGACTGCAAACCCTAATTTTTTAATTATTAAGAGCTGAAACGACAGGTTTATGTTCTGCGATGCTGATACCAGTCATAGACTAGAAGTAGTCAGATTATTTGCGAAATATCTCGTTTGTAGCACAAAATGTATTGCTAGAACCGTCCTAGCAGGA